CCCCTAAATTTTTTTTTTTTTTTTTAGAATGATGACAAGTGATAGCTCATGACAGGAAGGATGCATTGCTGTGATGCTTATGGGGGGAAAAGCAAAGTGTACCCAAGTGCCCAGGGAAAGGGCAAAACAGAAATGGACAGAACCACATTTTTCATTCAGAGTCTCTCTGCCATTGGTTCTGTGTTCCCAGCCTGTCTTTTTGCATCAACTCGATTTCTGAAGGCCTGGGGGTGACCTTCGTCTGGGTGCCCAGCGTCTCACGTGGTGCTTGGCACATGGTGGGATTAGATAAATATTTATGTAATCATTTCCTACCAACTCCCATGTTTACTGTTAGTAACACAGGAGTAAAACCGTGACAATGTCTAGGTTCTAAATGTGTTCGCTGCTCGTAACTATATTTTCTCTTGAGGGAAGAATCAGTATACTTGTTGAGAAGGTTACAGAGTTAGCTTTGTGAACTCAGTGTGTGTGTGTGTGTGTGTGTGTGTGTGTGTGTGTGTACTGTATTATATAATTACATAGTACATACTGTGTTCTGATGTGAGTCCCCCTTGTAAATACAGTTGGTAAAATGATACATACACAGGCTGCGTAAAATGCTACGTTGCAAATTCCAGGAAAGCAAATATTCTTGCTTATGCTTTGTTCCTACAGCTCAACCAGCCTTTTTCCTTCTTCTGCAGAACTTTCTGTTACTTGACGAGATACCACAGCGTACTCCTCAGCCGCCATCAGACGGTAAAATGATCGTGCATGTGCAAGACTTCACTGCCTTTTGGGATAAGGTAACAAATCCTCCCTTGCAAGATCACAACTGGTAAAAGACAACCGGGGATGTAGATTTAATAGAGAATTTTGATTTTTTTTTTTACACACCATATAAAATGTGACTTGCATTGTTTCCTTGAAAGTATGTTATAAACATTCTCAAAATCAGGAATAAGGTTTGTAGTTAATGGGGATTAAGTATAAAATCAGCCCAAGGCATACGACATGTTCTTTGTCCCATTGTTAGGAGAACTTTCCAAGTATGATCACATTGTTTTCGGTGATAAGTTTGCAATGTCCCCATTTACAGGATTGAGCAGACAAGTGATACGGTCTGGAACGGGTTAGCTAACACGTACATCACAAGCTGTTACAGAGGAGAGACTGGGAAATCAGTGTACGTTTTTTACCCTGACGCTATCAGACCATCTCATTACATATGGAGTGAGGCCCATGATGTGGATATTTCCTGTAGGGTAGTGTGAGGGCTCCTGTTCTAAGCTTCTGGAAGGTGCTGGCTGCTTTGGGGGCAGGCAGGGGCAGGGAGGAGGCAGCTGGTGAGCACAGTAAGTGCCAGTGATTCCCAGCTTCAGGGTTCTGTGTGGGAAGCTGACAGGTAGGACAGGTGAGGTCACGAAGGTTTTCTGACACTTGGTTGATTTAGGACATTTAGGCAAATGGGAAAAACCCTTCCTACCTTACTGCAGCGGATTCCCTCCTGCTTGGTAATTCTCCACTGGTGCACTTGAAGCACTTGTAGAAAGCTCTGTTCCAGTTCCCTTCTGTGAGTGCTGGGGAGTTAGGTAGTGCACTGAGGTAGTTACCGCACACCCTGTATGATGACCCATCACCACCTTTCTTTTGTACGAACCGTGCAACACTAAAATGAGCACTTTTGTTCTTCTTCCCAGAACTTAATCACTTGTTCCCAGACTTTTCCTGCAGCTTTTGCGTTGTAGCACAGAACACCCCCATCCTGTTGTCCTGCCCTTGTCTGGGGAAGAACTGTGCCTCTCACTGGGGGTGATTAGGGGCCCTAGAGTGAGGGAGGGGCACAGACATTGGGGATTTGGGAAGGAAGCTAAGGCCACCGGGCTGGGAGGCAGAAGGATGTGGGTTTTCGAACCACCCACTAGACAGCTGGGTGGGTAGGTGGGCAAAGGTCTTCGCCCCCACCTGGTTTCATTCATGAAAGGAATGCGCTCGGTTTCAGTGTCTGAGCTTGGAAGTGTATGGTCCGGTGGGAGCCTCTAAATCGCCGCGGGGCAGGGATTTTCATCCTGTGTTCACTGCTATGTCCCCAGGGCCTACCCCACGGCTGGGCTGGCGCATTGCATCGGCCTCTACTGAGCCCCAGGGCAAGGGGGCCTGAGCACCCCTGAACTGTCACATGCTGCCCCCTTCTGGTCACGCTCGAGCAATGCCTGACCCTGGAGCCTGGGCCAGGAAGCAGCAACTTGTCTGGCGCTAACAGGAATCTCTGAGGTGCAGGGAACGGGAAGCCAGTGTCGTTCTGTGGCTTCTTACTTTGTAGATGTAACTGAGTTAAAAAAAAAAAATGTAGTCAAGTAGGAACTAGTTCGTTGTTAGACATGAAGAGAGGAGTGGAAAAGCTTAAAAAAATGTTTCTATGTATTGAAATCCACCTTAATGACAGTTTTTATAATTCGATAGAATCTGGGGCTGGTTTTTTTTGGTGTGCATGCGTGCTTAAATGTAATTATCCTGGTTTTAGTATGTACCCATTTTATGACCAATTATTCCAGAGAAGGTTTTCATTTTGAAGATAACACAGACCTTTTATTTCTTCTGCTGTGCCTTTAGCCTTTCTGCCTTGTGTTAACTGTGTGTACACATTCCCAGCATAGAGAGAGGTCACGCAGCAGCCCAGCTCTGCACCTGTGCGTGGGAAAGTTCGCTCAGCTGCTTTTGGCTATCCGTGGCTTAGATTCTTCCTCCCATCATCCCTCGTAGTTGAACTTGCAGGGAAAGTTCTGAACAGAAGCTCTGTACGTTTCTCTGCCCTTCACGTATCTATCTGGAGGTTTGTCTTTGAGGAACCCTTTTTTAGAAATGTAGAAGGTAGCAGTGCCTTAGATCAACTCACGGTCAGTTTCCTGTGATCGTGGGAGGGCATTCCCCCAACTGTGTTTGCAGAACACTAACCCCTTACAAGCCTTCTTCAGAAAGGGTTTGGGACTCACACACATTCACGAGATCCTCAGTCCTGGGGCCATGCATGGTCAGGACTCCCAGAAGCATCCCACGGGGAAATGAGGCAGAGATTGTAACAGTGGGAACGAAGCCCACAGTGTCAGCACAGGAGCTCAACACAGGGCTCGAACCATGAGATCATGACCTGAGCCAAAACCAACAGTCAGACGTTTAACTGACTGAACCACCCAGGCGCCCCATTTATTGAGAGTTTTCTTAACACTAAATCTCCTTATTGTAGAATTTATAGAATGTTTAGGAATACAACTTCTGATTAGCATGATTTTTGCTTTATCCTTTTCCGTTGTGTTGGATTCTGTGCTGTAGTGCACGCCTCCATGTGTTTTTTTTTGTTTTTTTTTTTGTTTTGTTTTTTTTTTTTACAGTAGAAGTACTTTGTTGTACCTGTTTACTAGGACAGGTAATGCATGGTACAGGTAGAAGACAGACTATTTCTCTGGTGTGATACCATATACTAACTTACTTGTTATTTTTGTTGGTGTTAAATTTGAGCTCTGATTACAGCCTTGACCACCACGCACAGGAGCCTTTTTGCCAAGAGTGATCTTACAATGCCAAGTGCCTTCTTGCTTTGTGAGCATTACTCAGATTCCTTCCTTATTAAATGAGAATGGAGAGGTTACGGGAGATTTCCAGTTACTTAGTAGCAAAGGGCCTGGCATGCGGTGTACTTATACTGCCACCTTGTGGGGGTTAATGGAATAGACGATTAAAACAAAGGGTCATAATGTAAAACTTGAAAACTTCCCATACTGAATATTCTGTTAACTGTATTCTTTTAATATTAGTGTGCACCAAGAAGTTTTCATTTCGGAAGGGTGCCTTATCATTTCTACAACTTAAATTCTGTGGGTGTCTAGAACTGGGTTCACATGCAAATCTGCTAAGAGAACAGGCCTTCTGAAAAGCAGCTAAGCCCCAAAGAACTATAGTTGAGGGGTGCCTGGGTGGCTCAGTCGGTTGAGCATCCAACTTTTGATTTTGGTTCAGGTGATGATCTCACAGTGTGTGAGATCAAGCCCTGGGTTGGGCTCTGCGCTGACAGTGTGGAGCCTGCTTGGGATTCTCTGTCCCTTTCTCTCTCTGCCCCTCCCCCTTTGCACTCTCTCTCAAAGTAAATAAACATTAAAACATATATGTATATATATATTTATATTCTTATATTTATATTTATTTTTATATTCATATATGTGTGTGTATGTATGTATATATGTGTGTGTGTGTATATATGTATATACATATACACACATGTATATGTAGAGAGAGAGAGTGTGAAAGGGACTCCAGCACATGGTATCTTCAGATAGGAAGGGGGAGAGATGTGGGTTATGTTCACATACCAGTGACTATTACAGTATTTTCTTTTTGAGGTAATTTGTGTTACTTTATTGAAATGTGCCTATTTTTGTGAACTTGAATTTGTAGGCATCAGAAACCCCAACCCTACAAGGCCTTTCCTTTACGGTCAGACCCGGGGAATTGTTAGCTGTGGTCGGACCTGTGGGAGCAGGAAAGGTAAGTCATAGTGCCTTTTGACAGCTCGCTGCCATGCCACATCCCATATTAAATTCTTGGGGCTGGGCTGTGTGTAACACAAGTTTGACTGGGTATATCCAGAATGGCATTTCTCAAAATGTGTTCCATGGAGCATTGGTTCTGCAAGAAGGCCGCGCGGCCGCATCAATCTGGATCGTGTGGTTGTGTTTTTCTTGGTGCTTCAAGTGGCACAGTTTGGAAATGCTTATCTGGAAGATGGATGTCTCCGTGAAGGAAATTCCTTACGTGACTGCTATTCGGGATGGAATGACTAAGAAAACGGATTCTTCTTTTTGTCAGAGCAAATTCTACAGGAGGTCTTGGGGTTGTAAAAGGCTCTTCTGGGAAGCTTTAAACATTTCCTTATGTGGCTTACCCAAGTCACGTCCGCGCACAGTGGTGAACGTATGGCCACGTGCATGGCACTGTGCTAAGAGCAAAAGACACAGATGTAAGAAGGCTCGGGCTGATTGCCCTCTAGAAACACCCAGGTCCTGGGGCAAGACAGGTACGCGAAAGGATGATTTCGGCTCAGTTCTGAGCATTCTGTTTGTGGTAGGCACAGAGCCACCACGTCCGTATGTCGTGAAAGACTTGAAGGAGGTGTGTGTGTGCACTTAGCCCTGTGCATCTGAAACAATAGAATAGGGAATGCTACGTGTAGGATGAATAAATGATCGAGCCGTCATTTAATCGGTTTTTGCTTTTTGGTAACCTGACCCCCTTCAGAGTCCCTTTAATCTTTCCTGACGCATCGGATAGATTATTTACACACAGCTTTTCAGAAAGGAGGATAGCCGGATGCAGGACCACCTGCAAACCTCAGACAGAGGAAGTGTGTATTATGCCAGCCTCCCCTGTTGGGAATGGCCAGCAGTCTGTCTTTGAGCACAGCATTTCATTTGGGGGGAAACGCGCTCGGGCAGAGCAGGCTGGTATCCTCTGTTTTGTTAGCATTCAAATTTGATTTTAAATTTGTAAAAAATACGTATTTATTTTTGGGAGAGGGGAACAGAGGATACCCTGCGGGCTCTGCGCTGACAGGCTGACAGCAGTGAGCCTGACGCGGGACTCGAACTCACGGACTGCGAGAGTTCAGCCGCTTAACTGACTGGGCCACCCAGGTGCCCTCCGAGCATTCATATTTTTTATTGCACCTTCCAGGGCTGTACTTGAGTCTGTTTTAAGTGGAAGCGCTCTGATGTGTATCAGACCCCGGGGCTGGGGGAGGCGGGATTGGGAATAGCAGCAGCTTGTCTGTGCCCAGTGCTGCTGGCACACACTTGCTTGTTTCCAATCTGTTTCAGTCGTCGCTGTTAAGTGCCCTGCTGGGGGAGCTGCCCCGGAGCCAGGGGCTGGTCAGCGTGCACGGAAGAATTGCCTATGTTTCTCAGCAGCCCTGGGTGTTTGCAGGAACTGTGAGGAGTAATATTTTATTTGGGAAGAAGTATGAAAAGGAACGATACGAGAAAGTCATAAAGGCTTGCGCTTTGAGAAAGGTAAGGACTTTTGAGTTACACACGTTTGAATTTCAAGTAATAATAGTGTTGATTGAAATGACAAGGTTGAGTTCCTTTTTTTTTTGAAAGCTCTTTGGACATTATCTAATACTTCAAGCTGGTCTTGTGGGCAGACACACCACATGTAACTGCACAGAGGCACTGCTGTTTTAATCCTGATGTCATGAGGATCACAGGATGCTTCTCTTGTTTTGTGAAGTTTTATTCACTTTGCACTTTTTAAATGGACAGTTATAAAAAAAAAAAAAGAGTAGCGTAAAGAGCCCTCATGTACCCATCCCCCAGCTTTAACCATGCTGTCTGCTGGGGGAAGAGGAGTAAGGCTGACCATTCCCCCTGCCCTCTGCCAGCCTCACCCACACCCCGAATTATTCTGATGCAGAACGTAGCCCTCCTGTAGTTCGTCTGCACGTGTTTCCTTCATTATCTCTAAAAGATAAGAAGTCCTCTGAAAAGAAACCATGTTATCACCCTTGAAAAGTGACCACAGGTCCTTAATATCATCACTGTCCTAGTCCACGTGTACATTTCGTTAATTATCTCAGCAGGAAATCTGGTCAGCCATTGGTTTGAGTCAGACCCCACGTCAGGTCTGTACTTTGCTCTTGGCTGATTTATATCTGGGGTCCCTTTCAGTCTCGATTTATTATTTTAAGAAAAGGAAATGTTTTCAAATTTATTTTGAATACTACATCATTGTCTTTGCAGAAAATGGCGAGATGAAATGTTGAACTGTACTTGGGATTTAAATAAAATTGATGAATGAATGATAAAAACTGAACTTACTTGATAGGACAGTATAATTTAGCAAAAAGGAAAACAAAACGGTCCATAGTGATAAATATTATGTGACTCCCTTTGGGTTATAAAAATCAGTGGATAATGGCGATAAAGGGCTCTCCCTGGGGTCTGCTCGATGCAGGCTGGACATCCGACTGTTCTTTTATACTGTGTGGAAAAGGCCAGGACAGACTTTTAAAGGTATGGAATTGAAGGCTCCCAGCCAGTGTAGTGAGGAAATAGTAATTTTGCTTGAACAATGGCTTGAACATGATAGATTTTATCAGGCGAGTAGCATTTTATGATGTGGACAAAACATAATTGCTTGTTTAATGGGCTTCTATTTCTTTCCCCTGGGTCATTGTTAATGAGAGATTATGTGTTTTCAGAAATGACATCAGGTTAGCAGTGGTGAGCGAGATTTTTGTTCAATGGTGTATACTGTGTAAGGAGAGGGAGAAAGCAGTGGTGATAACTGCCATTTATTTGGAGTCCACGTGCTAATCACTTTTTTGCCTGTCGTGCATGCGCACACACACCCATCCGTCCACCCACCCACCCACGCACACACACATACCAGTTTTTAATCTTTTACCAGTGCTTTTGATGGCATGCACCACCCTCATTTTATAGTTGCTAGAACTGAGGCTTATAGAGATGAAACAATTCACGTAAACATCTGCAGCTCAAGTTGAGATTTTTCATGATGCCAGATTCCATGCTTCAAGTTCAGATTTTTCATGACCCCAGATTCCATGCTTCAAGTTGAGATTTTTCATGACCCCAGATTCCATGCTTCACGGGGCCATGATGCCTCCCAGCAGAGGGAGTTTATAAGGAAGAGCGATTTTTAAAGTTGGGTAATTGAGGCGGAGGCCAGTACTGACACCGGTGAGAAGCCAGACGCCGAGAGGCAGTGGCCCCAGTAGCCCACCTGCAAGCCTGGTGGGTGAGGGTAGGACGTCAGCTCCGCTCCAGGAACGGTGTTGTGGAGCATTTAGAAAAATGGGGATGAAGCAGCAGTTAACATCCAGAGCTGGATTCGAGGATGTCAACTTTGAGCATACAACAGGCATGTACACAGAGTAGCAACAGTTAATTCAGATATAACTGGAGAAGTTCCTTAGGCAGACGGTCATCAAGTACTTGTGGACGTGGCATGTGATACCACGAGGGTGAGTCTCCTCAACGCGATGACTGCCGGGAGCGAGGGGCCGAAGAGGCCACCGTGTGGTCCACGTACCTTGACATTGTGCACGTGTGAAGATTACAACCCTAACTGGGTACCAGGAGCTGAAGTTTTCCTTCTCATATTTACACCACTGCCTTTTCAGCTCATAAACTACTAGGTAACCTTGTTCGACATAACTACTATTTAATTTAATTTAATTTATATTTTATATATTTTATTTATTTATTTATTTATTTATTTATTTATTTATTTATTTATTTATTTTGAGAGAGAGAGAGAGAGAAAGAGAGAATGCACGTGCAAGTTATCAAAGGGCAGAGAGAGGGAGAGGGAAAGAGGAGCGGGGCTCACCTGGGCTCTGGCTCACCCAAAGCAGAGTTCATGCTCACCCAGTGTGGGTCTCGAACTCAGGAACCATGAGATCATGACCTGAGCTGAACGAAGTCAGATATTTAACCAGTTGAGCCACCTAGGTGCCCAATGTAACTACCCTTTAAATGATTTAAAAAGAGGTGCTATGAGTGTCCAGGAAGAAGAATTTTTAAGAGTAATAGAAAAGTACTGAAATTCTGTGTGGCCAAGAACATTCAGACAGATACGTATGTGCTCCAATCAGGAACAGAGTTTTCACATAAGATAGAAAAGGAAAAGTTTTTGCCTTAACTTGCCTCCTTCAACACTGAGCCAGTTGTAAATGCTATGTTTAACTCTTGGCCCCTAACACGAGAAATTATATTCCATTGCCACAGAGGCTGGGAGAGCATTCCTGAAAACAGGGGCATTAAACTTATTTTTAGCCCAAATAGATGTCACTTATTATAATAATGAGTAAATTATGTGATATATTTTTTTAAATGGGACAATTGAAGAAGGTAGGGTGTGGAGTAGGCAATGAACAGAACACAGGCATTTTCTTTTCACCTTCCTCAAGCCTAACTCCGGATGCCCAGAGCAGATTCCGAAGAGCCAGGCCAGTGTTTGCCTGTTTCTTTGCACGGCCTTGCTTTTCTGGTGATAGCTCAGCCCTGCCTTTCTACTCCCCACATTTGACCATCCCTGGAGAAAAGCACGTGTTGGGACAGTGGCTGCCATTCAGCGTTTTCCCCAGGGACTGATGCCTTTGCCACCGCCACATGGGACGACTGGACCAGTGTGTGGGCCACCTCTGGGGCACGTGGACTCTGGCGGGAAGGGTCCCTGCAAGGCGGGCTGTGCTGCGATTCTTGTATTCATGGTTCCATGTTGATAAACACGGACGGTTACCTATTCTGAGTGACACGGCATGTGGGGTCAGGGCCCCTTGTGCTCCTTCCCTCCTGGACAGAAAAGGAGGCCCGGCGTGGAGATGTAGTGAAGGGTGGAGTCCTGGCCCCAGCCTTGTCACTTCAGACACATCCTGTTACCTGTCTGGGCTTCTCCCGTCTGCTCCAAGTGTCGACAGTGGGTCTGAAGATTTCCAAGAAGTTTGGCTGCAGTTCTGAAATGCCATCTATGACTCTGTTTAGTGATTGGTAAGGGCTTTAGGAAACCACAGAACCACCTGATGAGTTACGAGATCTTTTGCTTTTCTCCTCTTGGAACCCATGTGTCAACGGATGGGCATAAGATGGCTACAGAGAGTTGTGGCGTCCTGGAATTATGTTGCCCGTAGATACAAAGACTGCATGTGTAGTAGAAAGGCCTTGGCCTTTGGAGAGAGACAGTCTCGAGAATTAACTTGGGATGTTAGTCCATTTTCTTATTAAATGGTGGGCATATGGGACTTCTGTCGAGACTAAGCAGACATGCCGGGTTTTTGAAAAATGGTAGCTATTGTTACAATTATAGTCCTTTTCTCTAAATTCATATATACATATAAATATAATAGAGATTTCTCCTTACAGCCTCCCCTAAATCTGGAGGGAAAACAAAACAAAAAAGGGCAACATTTCTTATGTTATGTGTATATTACAACTAGATGTGTTACACTAGATCTAATTGAAGTTTACTTAAGTCGTTGAGCAGATAATATTTCTGAAATAAAATAGGAGGATATGAAGTAATCACATTTAGCAACATCCATTTAGACTGATGACATACTCAGAGCGACACTGTAGCAAGTTAAAGAGTATAGTTTAGGGAACAGCTGGTTAAGTCCAAGGCCCTGGAGGCAGACAGTTGTGGATTGAGTCTCAGTCTATTTACCAGCTCTGTGATTCGGGTTACAAAGCTTGAGTTTCTTCATCTATGAAATGGAGATGATCAACCTCATGTGGTATTTTTTAGGACGAAATGCAATAACTTTCTTAAAGCACCTGATTGCTAGGGACGTAACAAGCATTCTATAAATGTTAGAATAGTGTTGAAGAGATACTGCCTCTTAATTAATAAAAGAGCAGCCAGTTTTGTGTAGAATCACCTCTATAAAATGTGACATGTTAGAAAAGAAGGTATTTGAGTATATAACTTCCATTATTTGAGGTGATATTTGTTATAGGTGCTCTAACGTAGTACGTTACATAAACCACCAACAAAGATAGTGTCTAACAGAAGATAAGCAATGTATCACATGACATTTGTCTGGCTATTTTACGTTGGAAGACTTTTTAGCATTTTTGGGTAATACATACTTGAAGGTGTAATATTGATAAATTCAAGGTTAGTATTTTCTCACATAGGTCACTCGAATTTATAAGCCTCTCTGGGGTGCTCACAGGCTTACAGTTTCTTCTATTCACTACATTTCTGCCAGCTTGGACATTTTCTTTTCTGATAACATTGACGGTTGTAAAATGATTATTGTTTTATCTTTAGTTTTTCATCTCTCACTTGAGATAGCTTTTACCCATGACATAGGAAATAAATAAGTACAAAAGGGATCTATAAGGCTAATCAAAATACGGAGACTAAGTTTATCGATACTTGTGTGTGTATAGAGAAGTCTTCAAGTCTTAATTTTGATATTATAAGTATACTTTTTATTTTAAATATACTTTAAAAAATGTCCGTTTATTTTTGAGAGATAAAG